ATCTCAGATGTGCTCCTGGAAGAAAACTTGCAGCAGCGAGAGCAGAAATGGAAAGACATTCTGTCAGGACTTCACGAGCAAGCCATAGACTTGCCTTTCTCAGGCAAGCGGATGCCCACAGTGCTCTCCAAGCGTCTTGCAGGTTATGTGCCGGGGCAACAGCAGTTCGACTATCCGGTGCACACCTTGCGAGCTCTCAGCGGCAGCACAACGATAACTGTTGCCCCAGGGGCGCAAACTGGGCTTTTCAGTTCCGTTGGGCGGATGGATCCTCACACATACCGACCAAACGAGTTCTTCGCTAACAATTGGGTCTACGAGGGTTTGACAAAGTACGGGCCGGAGGGAGTCACTGAGCCAGCACTCGCCGAGTCCTGGACGTTCAGCGATTTGCCTTCAGGGGGTCAGGAGTATCGGTTCACTCTCGCGCAGAATGTGAAGTTCCACGATGGCTCCGATTGGAACTGTACGGTCGCCAAGCTGAACTTTGATCACGTGCTCGCCAAGCCTTTGACGGCAGGGGACGAGCACGGTTGGTACGATTTGCCAACGCAGATTGTCTCATGGAGCTGTGCTGGGGACTATGAGTTCGTGCTTTCCACCAGGGACAAGTACTACCCACTGCTGCAGGAGCTTACCTACATCCGGCCGCTGCGAATGCTTTCCCCTGCCATGTTTGCCAGCGGCCTCACAACGGATCCAACCACTGAGAACTCGTGTTATTCGGCCGGTAGGGTTGTCACAAACTTCGGGGAAACAATCACGTGCGCAGGCACTCGGGGTGCCTCGGGAACTGGACCGTTCAAGTTCATCGAAACCCTGGCCAACGGCGATGTGAGGTTTGACAGGCACAGTGAGTATTCGGGCGGAGAGCCTCAAATTGAGCGGATCATCCTGAAGAAGTACGACAGCCACTCTGAGGTGATGGCTGCTCTTTTGGACGGAAGCCTCGATGCGGTCATGGGCGCTGGTGTACTTGAGCCAGAAGACTTCCACACCCTCAGCACCACGCACGCTTTCCAATTCCAGATGTTTCTAGGCCCACCCATCATGAACCGCGTGATCATCATGAATGCGGCCAAGGCTCCAACCGACAACCTGAACCTTCGGAAGACCATTATGCACGCAGTGAACAAGGCAGAAATTATCGACAAGGAGCTTTACGGAATGGCGGCGCCAGTGGACGCGCTCTTCCCCAAGACCTTGCCGTACTGCGACGTGGATCTCACCCCCCGCTGGGACTACGACCGGGAGAAGGCATCTCGCNNTCCCTTTTCCCTCACTCCGAAGTTTCAGGTTTAGGGTTTAGGCTGTTTAGGGTTTCCCTGCGATGGCGAAGAAGCCAGGCAGAGCTACTTTGGTGCTCGGAGGCGGCGGCCGAAGAATCGAGCGGCAGCGTGACGGTGACTGGACTCTCCTTGCATGGTTTCATGATGTTTCACGTCTGCACACATGTTGTTCCAGAGGTGAATAGGAGGACGGTCTTGAGCAGTGTTCCTTTCAGAGTCTAGGTGACGGTGCTGGTCATCGTCATCGTCGTCGCTGTTGTTGCCGTGGCGGTCGTTGCCTTCTTCTTGTTCAAGCTTGGTAAGAAGCAGGGGGCGGATGAGCAGAAGTTGCTGCACGCAAAGGCAGCAGGTGAACCTCCAGCTGGGCAGATGGGCAAAGTCGATGAGGCTGCAGTCTAGAGTCTGAATTAATTCGTGCTGTTATTTTTGCTGTGCAGCAAGCTGCCACAGCTGCGAAGGCATTCAGATATCTGCAGTCAACTACTGACCGCAGGCTGCGTGCATAGCCACGATTTTAAGCCAGAGGATGGTTGAGGATGTCCCATCAGCACTGGCATATAATGGCATCCTACCGAGGGGAAGAAGTTCAGAGCCCGGGTCCCGACAGCGAGGTGTCTTTCGTCCCCTTCAACCACAGACTGTGCAATGAGCTTAGGGTAAAGCCTTCTGCTGGGAGGTGTTTGTGTGGAAAGCCAAGTTCGAAGGATTCACGTGGCAACAGGGGGACATCCTGTCGGGTCCAACGGGCGTGCAAAGAGTGTTTTTCTGCTCGCAGAGTACCTGTCCGAGGAGGGAGCATGCTCTGTGATTGTGGCCGTGTTTCGAGAGCTGGACCTGCCCTGCTAAACCCTAAACCCCTAAACCCTAAACCCTAAGCCCTAAGGCCCTAAGCCCTAAAACCCAAACCCCAAACCCTAAACCCCAAACCCCAAACCCCAAGCCCTAAACCCTAAACCCCTAAGCCCTAAACCCTGCAGCCTTAGACTGCTCCCAGGAGAAGCCCCGAACCCGTTGCCGCCGGCGACAACACCTGGAGGTCTCGGTTCGTGGATTTCGTTTCGGGCAGTCCGATTAAGGGTTTAGGGTTTAGGGTTTAGGGTTTTTCAGCATCTCTCTGGTTTAACGGATTAGTTTCGGCTCGTTAGGAAAAGCGGGATTTTGGGACAAGATGGGGTGGATGTTTGCGGTTGTGTCGGATGGAGAAGGTGGTAGTAATGCAGGGTTGGCCGGAGTTTTGCAACTTCCCGAACTTGCGACGACAGTTATCCCCCAGCCAGCTCTAAGGTTCCCTGTTCACGCGATAAGCATTGAGGTGTGATGCGAGTTACGGTCATGATGGTGATCATCGAACATGTACTCTGCTGTTCGTGGAGCGAATCTTGGGGCAGGCCTGCTTCCTTGGTTGCAGTTCGAGGCAAGCTGATGGCGCTCTACCTTTCGGCTTTTGCCAATTGGGCCAAGACTCGAGGTGCGCGCGTCCTGAGGGTGGGCGGGGTTTCAGGCGCACGTCTCATATTGCGTTTTAAGTGGTGCGTTTCTTTGCTTCGTGTCTACTCTCGTTCTTGCTTTTTGGTTTAGGTCTTACCTGTGGTGTTTGTTGGTAATGCCCTCCTCATCTTTGTTGGCATGCTGTTTGTTGGCAACCTTACGTGCACCAGTCTGCACTGGGAGGTTTGACGCTTGTGTCCTGTCCCGGGACACAATGCACCCTCGAGTGCAGGTCAAGCCATCTGGGCTTCTAAGTGAAACCTGCTTCCCTGCATGATGCTTTGAGGCAGGTGATCCAGAGTCATGGTTTTGACTTGGTCCTGTGAATCCCGACCTCGCACACCCACGTGCTGTCGCTGGTTGTCGCTGAAGTGCACGCCCACTGGGAGTGTGTTTGCCATAGCATGTATTCAAGTGCAGGAATCCGACGAACAGGACACGGAAACTACCGCACACAACCATTTACGAGTACCCACGAACGAGCACCACATCGCAGCACACAGTTCTTCAGAACCCTCTCCTTTCCCCGCGACTTTATGGCAGGACTCGGAGCTACTCCACAAGTTCAGGACCAAAGCCGTGCAGGCGGGCCACATTGGGTATAGGAAGCTGATGAAGCAACCGCTGATTCTTACTGGAGTTCTTACCGGGATCCGTGACAGCGCTGAACAGTGCCGCCGCCCTTCTCTTGTCAAGCTTATTCTAACGAAGCAAGCATGGCTGCTCCGTCGGCCATGTCTTCACTAAGCAGGTCCACCAAAAGGCTTGCTTGGTTACTGTTCATTTTTGCCAATGCCCCTTGGAGGGAAGCTGAGATGTCGCTAGAAGACTTCCACTTAAAACCCTAAGCCCTAAACCTTAAATCCTAAGTCCTAAACCCTAAGCCCTAAACCCTCTTCCGAGCTCTAAGGTCGGCTCTTACAAGCTTTCGAGCATCCCTCTCAACTCGACTGATCCCGACGCCGGCGTGGCGGCAGAGGAGCAGAACGTCAGCGACCTTCTTTCCCAGACCGTGGCCGATGAAATGAAGGACTCCCTTTCCCTCTGCCCAACTTAGTTTATCCTCGGAGCTTAGTGCTTCGTCTTGAGGACTTCGGCCGCTTGCCCGATCCGAAGGAGAAGGGCGAGCAAGGCGAAAGCGCGGGTGAGCTGGGCAAGAGCCTGGAGTTCTTGATGCTCAAGGTCGCCCAGCTGGAGACCCTGGCGGAGCTGCAGCAGACCGAGCTCGGGATGCAGCGTGAGCTCATTGAGAAGCTGCAGAAGAAGATCGATCCTGAGGAAGCGGAGACCTCCTTGGCGCAGAAGCACAGGAGCTCCGAGGAGAGCGTGCAGGAAGCCCATGACGTCTTGAAACGGGTGATCCAGAAGCACGCCCACCAGCGGCAGCACCGGGAGTACCATCCCGAAGCTCACAAGCAGACGCAACCGAAGCCTGCAGTTCGCGAGGAGGAGGAGGCCGAGGAGGTCGACGCCGGCCCGAGAGCCCTGCTGCAAAAGCGCCACAAGCGCCGCAGCGAGTTTGGTCCGAGTGAACTCGGAAATGAACTCGGAAAAGCGGGCAAGAGCGGCTGGGACAATACAGGGGGCAGAGCTGTCGACGAAGGGAAGAAGCAATACGACAAAGTCGACAGTGCCGTCGAGAGGCGAGACACTTGCCAGAGTAAGGGCCCTTAAGGGTTATTTGATTCGGACTTCGTAGGAAGTACGCATCCTCACAACAGGGCCCCCGCTGTCGAACGAACCATGGATCCCTTGATTCCCTTAGAGCGCGACTTCTTGTTTTGTTGCAGGTTGGACGGCACCGGTCTTACGGGCGACGCCTTGACCCAGGCCTACAGAAGAGCCAAAGATGCGGGGAGCGCCGAAAACAATTCGTGGCCAACACCGCCATCAGCACAGTGGAGATGGCGGTGTCGATCCTGACGGCAGGCGGGCCGACAGGTGTCTTGTGGCTGGAGGTCTTCGGGTTCTTAGAAGTGCTTCTGGATCAAAGCCCCGAGGCTTCAGCGACTGGGGCGCGAGTTGCACCAATACTGATCCAAGCATTGGCGTGACCGGCTCCGAGCTCTACATAACCTTTGGGCACCAGCGCTGCACTGTCTCGCTCATGAATCAAGGAATGACCCTTTTCGACTTCAACTGGGGCAGAAAAGCTGTAACGCTCCGGTGCTGAGCATGCTGCCCCAACAGCTCCAGGACCTTGCCACGGGGAGCGTGGTGAACATGCTGCCCCAACAGCTCCAGAACCTTGCCACGGGGAGTGGCGTGGTGAACATGCTGCCCCAACAGCTCCGGAACCTCGCCACCGCAAACCTAGTCCCGAGTGCTGACTGCAGTAATGCTGCTCCAAGCATCGGCGTGACTGGCTCCCGACTCAACATCGACTTTGGGCACAACTCCTGTGAGGTCACTTTCATGGGGCGAACCGTGTCGCTTGAATGGAATTTGGGCAGCACAGGAGTCGATCTGCCCGGCTTGAGCATCCTGCCCCAACAGCTCCGGGACCTTGCCACCGTTCCCCTAAGCGTGATCAACGCGCAGATGACGTTTGCCACGGGGATCGCGAACTGCGTCAATGCGGACCAGCCTCTTGGCCTCATCGAGTGCCTCGGCTACAAAATCATCGAGCGCGTGCCCCCTCTGAGCTACCTGAACCGCATGAGCGACATCCTCACAGAGGCGCGCAAGGGCATCGTGGGTCGGGGTTCCGGAGCTTCGGGATGCTGAGATTGACAGTTGACACAGGGTATAGGGCACACGGTGCATGCGACGTTTGTGAGGTCATCGAGGTCTTCGCCAGGATAGCGGCGACGGTTGTGGAGAAGGCGATGAAGAAAGGCCCATCTTTGGTGCAAATGGCTGCCACCGCTAAGTTTCCCGCTGCTGGAGAGCCACCTGTGCTGCACCACAAAGGCACCAACCTTGTCATCGAGTCGCACACGCGGCAGATGAAAAAAATCGGCGGCAGCGGGCCTCCTCCAGAGATGGCAGCCATGCAAACAAGCGCACGACAGTCACAAGCCGGCGACGACGACCCCGATGGTGCCATCACCTACGACATGGGAAGTAGTGACGACGTCCATGCCACAAAGCTCATCACCCAGTTCGATAGCAGGGAGACAGACACCAGCTCTTGCCTGGCCTTTGCACCGAAAAATCGGGCGGGTGACGGTGTGAGCAAAGCCGATTGGCAGGTTGGCGACCAGAACGATTTCCTCCAGCTGGAGCCTTGGGCTGTACCCTGCGACAACGCCTGGATGAAAGACAACTGGAACAGATGGCAAGGTTATACGTTCTACACCCAACCATCGGCCATCGAGAAGTGCATCACTGTGACCTTCAGTCTGGGAATGCAGCCTGTCGTTGCCTTCGTCGGGGGTTTGCAGTTTGAGATCTTGCCGGCGCCTCTCTTCGAGCTGGGCACGACGGTCTGCTGGCCGAACCAGCAACCGGGAGGTGTTGACTTGAGCGTGTTGCGATCCGAGGTGAAGTCCGCGGGCATCTTGCTCTTCAGCCGCACCTTGCGCCTGACCAAGCGTTTCGGGGATGGAACGGACTTCGTTTCTTCCAACTACAAAGGTGGCTACTCGACCTGGCGAAGCAATGCCGGCATCGCCCAAGGGGAGACAACGGTGCCGAAGGACCAACTCGGCCGCACGTCTTTGCTGGAGACCAACCAGAGCCACGATGAAGAGGAGGAAGAAGCCGAGGAGGGCACAGAGACCTTGTGGAGGACGGACTCGGAGGACCTGTACCTGGCCTCCGTGGACTATGGCGTGAACCTGAACACCTCTGTCAACAAGACCTTCGAGGCTTTCGGCGAGGAGGCTGCCATGCACATGGGCACCGAGAGGGTGGGAAGGGATGTCTTCAAGCTTTTCAGCTTCAAGAATCCGGGATTGGTGAACTTCAAGATCGAAGGTCTCATGAACGGCAACGTCCTAGAGATGGGCATCGAGATGGCATTCGGGCCGTACCGGAGTCCTCCAAGGAGGATCCCCTTGGTCGACATCGCCCACCAGTTCTCCTTAATTCTTTCAGGCATTCCTTTCGTGTCGAGCCGAAGCAAGCTCAAGGCCATCGCCGCACTCCGGGATTTCTCCATGCAGGACGTGGGCAAGGCGCGAGGCCTGCCAATGAAGCCGGGCTCCGTCATCGGACTGTACAGCCCGCATTGCCGGCGGTTCCTCCAAATTAATGGCGACGGCAAAAGCCTGGGCGTCACAGGCGAAATGAAGGGCCATGGCTTCCCTGATTGGTGGACGTGGCAACGGTTCACTGTTGTGGATGCAGGGAACGGGCAGATCGCGCTGCACAATGCAATTCACAACCGCTTCGTGGGAACAGGAGGTGTCAGCCCGGTACGGAATGCTCATGAGTTGCCAAGCGACTGGGGTTCTGAGCGTTTCACGGTCGTGGACGTCGGAAACGGTGAGATCGCTTTTTACAACGAGCACCAGAACAGGTTCTTGAACATGGCAGGCCATGGTGCGGGATTTAGCCACCACCCGCCGCACCCTCCAAAGCTACCGACCGACTGGAGATGGGAGCGCTTCCGCGTGGTGCGAGCAGAGCGAATCTTGGTTCCAGGCTCCACCATCGCCCTGCACAGCCAGCTCCAGAACCGCTTCGTGAAGATGCACGGGGGAGCCTTGGAACCAAGTTCTGAAAAAGGGGCAACGGAGATGCCCGATTCGTGGACATGGGAGCGGTTCACAGTGGTGGATGCGGGACATGGACAATATGCCTTGCACAACGCTGTCCACAATCGCTTCGTGGGGGTGGGAGCAGCCAGCCCTCACAGGTTGGTGGATCAACTTCCTGCCGACTGGGGCTCTGAGAAGTGGGACGTGTGGCCGGCTGGGAACGGCCAGATCGTCCTTTACAACAGAGTCCACAACCGGATGCTTCGCATGTCAGGAGACATTGTGGATTTCAGTGGCCATATGGATCCAGCGCAATTGCCAGACGATTGGACATGGGAGCGTTTCCAGGTGGTGCCTCTAAAACCGTATCTTCAGCCGGGCACTGTGGTGGCTCTCCGTTGTCCACATCATGGCCGCTACATCAAGATGCTTCCAGGTGCCCCGAGCGCACTTCTGCTGACCAGGGAGAACCACAGTCACAAACGAGACATTCTTCCCCTCTTCTGGCAGGCCGTTCGGAAACATCGCAAATCCTATCTATCAGGCCGCACAGACTGCGAAGGAAGTGGCCGAGAGGGCTGCTCGTGAAGAGGCCGAGCAGGCTGCCCGCGAAGCCGCACTCCGAGGCACCATCGGAGTCAGCCCTCACATGGATGACAAGAATTTCCCAGATGACTGGACCTGGGAGCGCTTCACGGTGGTGGATGCCGGCAATGGCCAGGTCGCCATCCATAACAGCATCCACAACGGATACCTGAAGATGCACGGCGACCGAATGCTAGTCAGCTCCCCTCAAGCTCCCGATACCTTTCCTTCTAATTGGGGTTCTGAACGCTTCACTGTGCTGCCTGCTGGTGGCGGTCTGTTCATGTTCCACAACTCTGCGCACAACCGAATGATCAGGATGACAGGTGATAAGGTGGATGCCAGTGACCACATGAACCCGCAGGACATGCCGGCAAATTGGGCTTGGGAGCGGTTCCAGATTGTGCCTGTAAAGCCTTACTTGCAGCCCGGTACTGTGGTTGCCCTGCATTGTGCCGTACACAACCGCTACGTCTCGATGAATGGAGCTGCACTCCAGCGAAGCGCGGAGATGGGCGTCAACGACCTGCCAGCCTGGTGGGACTGGGCGCGCTTCACTGTTGTGGATGCCGGCAATGGTCAGGTCGCCTTCCACAACGCCTTCCACAACCGCTTCCTGGAAATGAGAGGTGCAACGATGGGAAGCAGCGCTCCCCACGCAGTGTCTGATTTGCAGAGCTGGTGGACCTGGCAGCGCTTCACGGTGGTGCCTGCTGGGGACGGTCAGTTTGTGTTCCACAACACCCTTCACAATCGCATGATGCGTATGTCCGACAGCACCATGGACAGCAGCAGCAAAATGGCACCGCAGGACCTGCCAGCACACTGGGGCTGGGAGCGCTTCCGCATCGTGCAGGTGTCCGAGGCAAGCGAGATTGCCCAGAAGATCCCTACGACCTTCGACTGAGCGGAATCCTATAGGCTCTAATCGTCGATGCAGCAGGACCGTATTGCACAAAACAATTTTATGGTGCCTTACTGCTGTAGTCAGCACGGCTGCTGCGTCTGCCTGCACGCTGATCTGCTTCGGCTTCTTCTCAAGCTACTCACCGCATGCACAGTCTGAACTTACACACTGGTGATCGGCGCAATGACAGTAGAAACCTTGAGCAGTTGCTTCAGAGCCAGGTCGGGAAGAGCGTCCTGGCTGAGCCCGGGCCCTGGCCATCCAGTAGTGACAGTTTTGGCTTGAAGCCCGAAGCCATGTGGGCCTTCTTCACAGGTGGCTGTCAGCATTGCCCTGCTAGCCTTCGATGCCGGCTTGAAAATTTTCGTGGATGCATCAAGCAGTCGCTTCTCTAGGTGCTCAGCACTGACTCAGTCTTGTAACTCTGCCAGTCACCCCTGTCACCATAGTCGCTTCAGATGCTGCCCGCAGATCGCTTCACCCAAGCCAGGCACTTTGCAATCATCCTTCATACTTGCTGATTCCACCGACCCTCCTGCATCTCAATCCTGTCTCTGCGCCTTCAAGCCACTCGTCCACTCTTCCTCTCTCCGAATGTGGTTCTATAGAACAGATTCGGAAAGCACTTGAGGTAAAGTCTACTAAACTCTAAACCCTAAATATGAGTTCGACGGGCCAAGAAATCAGAGCATCCTCAGACATCCTGAGACCTAAGGGGGCAGGTAGAAGTAAGTGTGTGTCGAAGTGCGGATTCCCTGTGAGGCAGCCGAAGTTACTACAGTTCACATGCGCAATATCCCAACATCCTTTGAAGGTTCAGTGATGCAGTCAGGTGAACTGGAGATCATTATTTCTGCTGGCTGCCAGTATTCGCTGCCATGTGGAATCATCGCCAGTCGAAAGTCATGCGATCCTGGACATCGGAGCGACAGTGGAGACCGCACTGCAGATGGCACTGCCTCGTGAGGTGTCACAGTTCGGGGCTTATGCGTTCGTAGTGAGATTACAGCACTATCGTCACTTGTAGAACTCAGACCTGGTTCGCCTCTAAAGAGACTGTGTTGAGCAAGGTTTTTCAGAACTGCAGCATGCGGTGCAGGTTGTCGTTCACTTCCGTGCTAGGTTCGAGTTGGGATTCTCTGGACAACTCTACAGCCATGCCAGCCGAGAGCCTTCAAACCTAAAGTGCAATGAACTGCCTAACCCCATCCAGATGCCTGTAAGCTTAGATTTTACAGCCGTAAAGGCCCTGCACGATACACCTTTTCTCTGCGCTCCGAGCTGAGGCAATTCACTTGGTCTGACTGAAGCCCTTCACTGGTCCAGGCACGACAAAGAGATCGGGCGGGACAGTCAGATCTGCACTGGGAAATCAGGCGAAATCTAGAAGAAAGAAAGTACGTAGGCTTGCGACTGCTGCTGCCGCGACCTGCATTATCTATGCTAGGCAAAGTGCACTATCCTCCAAGCTTCCAGGCTGCGGTTTGGTCTGGAACCTAGGGTGCAGAGCATATGATATGCTCTCGAATTTTTCACGCGGCAGGACGTGCATTGCAAAAGCAACTTTGCGCATAGAGTCTGCCTAGTCAGTGCAGCTTCCGTGTCTGCGCACACACACCGCTGTTCTAGATCACTTCGTTTCAGAGAAGACACTTCCGCAGTGCGGTTCTCTACGAACCCTCGGCCCGCAAGTCACAAGAGTTTGAACTAGGTAGCCAGCGAAGCTGCTCCGTCTGCTCTGATGACATCTTGCCAGGCGTCGTGCCTCGGCTTCTTTTCGGAGAATCGTTGAAGTCGGCTTTCTTTGGGGTGGCAGTCCATTTTTCGTGAAAAACAAACACACGCACACACACACATATACAAACATACAAACAAATAAACATACATACATACATGCATACATACATACATATATATATATATATGTATATATATATATACAGGAA